CCCTGGTCTGAGTGAAGTTCCAAGGGGACGCCAAACCTACTGATCCAATTGTCAACCAGTACTTTCGCGACCGTGACGGCTTCCTGATTTGGAATGGCATAGGCATCTGGCCACTTGCTGAAGTAGTCGCTAGCCACCAGGATAAACTTGTTGCCGTCGTTTGTTACAGGGAACGGACCGGCCACATCGATGGCGATTCTTTCGAAAGGTGCCCCAACATTATATTTCTTCATCTTTCCCCTCGCCCTGGTATGAGGACCTTGGCTGGCCGCACACGTCGTACACTTGCGACACCAACTTTCGACATCGTCACGATGACCTACCCAATAAAACCTCTCCCGGATTTTCGACAAAGTTTTGTTCACTCCGAAGTGGGCTCCAGATGTTCCGGCATGAACTTCCTCTAAGACCTTGGAAACCTTTACCTTGGGGAGGACCAGCATCGTCTTAGAGGTACGCCCATCAGGACTCTCCCACTTTCGCTTCAAGAGCCCATTTTCCATGACCAAGGAATCCCATTGGGCCCATAATGCCTTCAAACTGGGGGATTGGTCGGACAATTCTGCCCAGCCGGGTCGTTTGACTCCTTCCTCCTTCCACTTTAGTATTGGTCCGATTATGTCGTCTGCTTCTTGCTCACGCTTTAACCGCGCCGTTGTCCATTCTTCATCTTGCTCAAAAATCGTCCGACGAACGGGCAGGTTCCCTTCTTCCGCGTCGATCCTGTCGCAGTGCTTGCACTCTCCACACGGACGTCTTGACAAAGCGTCAGCGTTGTTGTGAAGTCGACCCGCTCGGTGTTTGATCCTAAAGTGGTACTGCTGTAGTCTTTCCAGCCAACGCGCTACTTGGCCCTCGGGATTCTTTATCCGTAGTAGCCACGAGAGGGCAGCGTGGTCGGTCCTGATCAGAAACTCCTGTCCGTATAGATACTTGTGGAAGTGGTTGACGGCTTTGACAATGGCTAGCAGTTCCTTCCTTGTGGCACAGTAATTTCTCTCTGGTTTGGAATGTAATTTACTAAAATATTCGATAACCCTTTCCTCCCCATCTTGTATCTGCGACAATACGGCCCCAACTCCCGAGTTACTCGCATCGGTATCGAGGACGAACCTTCCTTTGTCCCTGGGGTAAGCCAAAATGGGGCTGGTGCACAAAGCCGTCTTCAGTCTCTTAAAGGCCATCTCACATGTACTGCTCCACTTGAAAGTCGCCTTCTGCTCCGTCAGTTGGTGTAACGGTGCTGCGATGTCGGCATACCCTTCTACAAATCGTCGGTAATATGTGCAGAGTCCCAAGAAGCTTCGTAGTTCATGCTTGTCTCTTGGTATGGGCCAATCCCGGATAGCAAGAACTTTCGTCGGGTTGGTTTCTATTCCTTTCTCCGACACGATATGGCCCAGGAATTCGACTCTTTTCTGGAAGAGCGAGCATTTCTTGGGATTTAGTTTCAAACGAGCCTTTTCCATTCGTTCTAGCACCTCCTCGAGATTCTTCAGATGGTCGTCAAACGTTTTGCCCATAATCATGACGTCGTCGAGGTATACCAGACAGGTCTTCCATGTCAGTCCTTTTAGCACCATCTCCATCAGCCGCTCGAATGTTGCTGGCGCATTACATAACCCGAAGGGCATAACGGTGAAGTGATAGAGGCCACTTCCGGTGGAGAACGCAGTCTTTTCTTTGTCGTCCGGGTGCAAGCCTACTTGCCAGTAGCCACTCTTCAAGTCCAAGGTCGAAAACCACGCCGAGCCGGATAAGGTCGTCAAGGTATCGTCTATTCGAGGAAGGGGGTAACTGTCTTTCTTCGTGACGTCGTTCAGTTTCCTGTAATCGACGCAAAATCGGGTAGTCCCGTCCTTCTTGGTAACCAAGACTACTGGAGATGACCACGCGCTGTTGGATTCTTCAATTACCCCATCTCTCAACATGTTGTCCACGAGTCTTGTAGCTTCTTCTTGTTTGGCTAGGGGTAGTCTTCGAGGAGCCTGACGGATCGGTTGCGTGTCACCAGTGTTTATTCGGTGTTCTACGATGTTGGTCTTCCCGAATGGTTCCTCCTCTGAGGCGAAGACATTACGGTGCCTACGAATGAGTCCTTTGGCCAGTTTTCTCTCACGAGCAGACAGCTGGTCCCAGTTGACCTCCAAGCCTTTGGTATCCCCTTCCTTAGACTCATTCTCAACGTCTTCTTCCTCGCAGTTCAATACTCGGGCGACTGGCTCACACATTCCGATAATCTCCCCTTTTCTAATATTGACTGCATTGGGAAACACGTTTGCCACACGTAAGGGTATGTCACGATCGGTTTTGACTAGGGTGCTCGCGATCAGGAGCTTGTGGGTCGAGTCATGTGCCGGCTGCACCATCCCCAAACTGTATCCGGGGTTCGTCTCTACTCTGGCGGGGACGATGACTTCTGCATTACCATCTACCTTCGTTGTCTGACAGACCACTAGTCTGACTGTTGCAGCTTCCACATTCGGACGTCCCAACACAAATTCTTCGGCTCCGAAACGCAGAATTTTCTGTTCTGGGTCGATCATTAAACCATACCGGCTGATTAGGTCCATACCCAGAATGAAATCGTCAGCGATTTCCGCCACCAGAATTTCATGCTTTATTCGGAGTCGACCGAGCTCTACATTCACCACCGCTGTACCCAGAACCGGTGTTGTTTCTCCCGTGACCGTCTTCACATTCGTGGCGGTACGTACTGATTTAATTTGGCAATTTTGTAACCTGGATCTGCGTGCAAGGGACACTTCGGCTCCTGTGTCGATGATGATCTTCGATTCCCGTCCATTGATTTTTCCGCTGATTGTCGGACTGTCGACGCTCCCCGCGATACTTCTAACCATTACAGTTGTTGGGGCTTCTCTTTTAGCAGCCAGTACGCGCCCCGAGATACCGACTGCCTTTAGTTTTCCTGCTCCTGATATAGACGAGGTCGCGGCTGCGATCTCCTCATCGGCCCTGGCGATCTAACACGGCAATCCCTCCTAACATGCCCTTGACGCCCACACCTGTAACATTCTAGGCGCCCTCCATGTTGTCTAGAACTGCCCGTCTTGATTTCGGCAATTATTTCGCGGGCGAGTTTCTCAAAGTTCTCGCTCATTTTGTCGAGACTCTCTTGAATAGGGTTTACTTCGCCCTCAACCCCAATGCCTCGTATCTTAACGTTGGAACGAGGTGAGCTGTTGTATGCGGCGTCCACTTCTAACGCTCGAATCAGCGCCTCGGATGGTTTCTTGAACCCGGAGATTTGCAGGACTCTTCTTACCTCACTATCTCTTACGCCGTTTACGAAGGTTTCTGCTGCCAGTCTGTCTTGGAAGTCTTGCGGAGCTTCAGGATAGGCGAGGTGTACCAAACGTTTAACATCAGCCGCAAACTCCTGAAGAGATTCACTACTCTTCTGAATCCTAGATTTAAGCTGCGCTACGAAAACTTGCCGGAGGTGTTCATCTCCAAATCTGAGTTCGAGGGCGGTCGTCAAAGCGGTATAGTCCTTCTGGTTCTCTTCTGATAATGTCTGTAGAATCTCCAGGGCCGCACCTCGTAGTGCTACTACCAAAACGGTCGCTTTCTGTTGGTCATTCCAGCTATTCGACAAGGCCGCAGCTTCAAATTGCTTCTTATAAGTAGTCCACGACGTCTGCCCATCGAAAATAGGGGGTTGAACTCTCACCGGACTGAATTCTGCAGGGGTCGCAATTGTAGGTCGTGGTGTTTGCAACCTTTCTTCGAGCTCCTTGATCTTGTTTTCCATTTCATTTCTCACCTCGTCCACTTCATTTCGCACGACTTGGAGGATTTCGCTTCGGCTGTTCAAAAGTGTAGTTTGCATAGCTTTTAAATTTTCTTCCATTATTCTTTGATTTTCTTCCATTATTCTGCGATCTTCTTTTCTATTTTCTTCCATTATTCTTCGATCTTCTTTTCTACTTTCTTCCATTATTCTTTGATTTTCGCTCAACATTTTCATCATTTTTGTCAGTTGTTCCTCCATGTTGGCTGTTTGCGCTCTTGTGGTAGTCGGCATAAAATTTTCTTCTAGAAACTTCTAGAGCCTTGACAGATGTCAATTCTCGAAGCCAATGTCAGGTGATGAAAGTCTAATTCCGTTATTCCACTCTTACCGCGGGAGAGAATTTTCTCGAAAGTTCACTTTGTTCCGGTCTCCCCTAGTAGCACCAACCAAATTCGAATCCCGATTTATTTCACAATTAATCCCACTCCTGACACCAGTGTTACGATTGACGGACGAATAATAAATCGGGTGTTGGTAAAACTCAAAAATTTATTTCTTCAGGTCGAATTACAACACTATCTATTGCGACGAATATGTACAGAAATTATTCCGGCGCTCTCGACTGTCTTCACTGGATGAATGAATCCATTACCTACGGTCGCCTCTATTTAAACCCATAGTCTCTGATCGAGATCCTTCACGAACATCCATCGCGACTCCGCTTCGAGACTCCCCTGGACGCCGCTTCGAGACGCTCCAGACCTGTCTTTATGCGCCCGCCTCTCGGCCGTCAACAGCGATGATTCACCCATCAGCGCCGTGCGTACGTCCAGAAGGCTCTCGACCGCCATAGGCGTCGTACTGGGGCGGCGTAAGGGTGTATTTCGTAACAATATTATCATAACCGGAGCTGTATATGTAATTTGCAAAAAGCGCGAAAATAAATATATCAGAATAAAAATAAATTGCCTATTATCGTTAGCGCGAAGTGACGATAGTCATAACAATTAATATTGACGCCGCTATTAGTAACAATTAATTGATACACACGCGTAAAATTTTATTATTAAGCAGAAACGGAATGAAATATGAGATGGCAAACTAACAGCCCCACTTCAATTTAACCAAAGCGCATTAAGCTCGACGACTGGATAAATCCGGATCTACTAACTGGTGGACATTAATTTGCCAATCTTTATTGACACAGCATAAACAAACATGACAATAATTACCCGACAACGACGCCACTGAAGCGTTCAATCGCGTCGGTTTTTATTTTTCAGGTTTAATTTGAAGCGTAATGCGAATAATGGCGCAGTCTATGTGGTTATTAGTACTGTTTTGACTCTTTTGTAGTACAAATGACAAATAATTAGCGAAGTTTTTCAGTGTTGACTTCTAATGAAATGGATAATGGTACTTTACCATAGTTTACCTTTTTAATGTAGGTGAAGTGTGTTGAGCAATGTTGTTTTAAACTTATTTGCGCAATTTGGTGAGGTAGGTTTAAATGACGCACCGAAATAATTATAATTAGTAAATTAATGACTAGTTATACAACGTATAATTTTTTTTATGAGAAATTTATTTATTAAATATTTTTCTAGAAATTGCAAATAATCTATCCGTGTGTGAACGTATAATTAGCAAGTAACATCACGTCGTGGCATCCTGACAAACAATGCATAAATTACACTGGAGGCTCAGACACGATTTTGAAGAGCTTAAAGATTATGTGAAGAAAATAATAACCACAAAACTCTTAAGCTTAGCGAAAATTCGGGAAATGAAATTTAATGTAAGTACGTATATACATAATACAAAACCAACAAAACAAATGCGAGCGAAAACGATGCGGAAAACCCTAACTCGGATTTCTCAACTTTATTACTGCAACAAGTGATACCACACGCAAATATAGTTTCCCCCAAAAATACCAGCAGGTAATAACCTCCGGTGAAACAGAGCAGAAAAAAACATCCACGACAAGGCTATCTATACACTCTGGAATTTATGGCTAAACGCTGGAAACCGTTACTGGATAAAACCGCTGAAAAGGTCGACAATTATTTATTCACAAAATCGCCAGGTTGTCAACTGATTTAAAACAACATTCTTGGCACACGCAGATTTTGATCAGAAAGAAGGGATTTCACCGAATTTTGGTTAAAATGAAAAATATTGAAGCGGCTTTTTCGAAGAAATTTAGCGAACCTTGACATAAATTAAAGCTTTTATTTTAGTGCATCCAATATTGTATTAAAATTAGATAATTACTATTGTTAAAAAAACAACTAAAATACGTCATAATATTAATGTCTAGCTAAATAAAGGTGACATAAAGTCCGACAAAATGAGATGGTTTTGATTCTAATTTTATAACAAGCATTAAAATTACGAATAAGTGAAAGAAACACATTATTTAAAATTTATGACTTGGCAAGGAAACGTGACCTTTGTGACGGCCCATTTAGCAATATAACATAAAGATAAATTGTCATCAATTTGTGAAAATTGTTGCCTCTGAGTGACAGATATTTGACAGATAACGCGAAGTTGTGTGAAAATTCACCTTAACATCTAGGTATTACCTGTGTTTTCTTATATTAGCACTCGGATAAAAGTTATTTGGTTCGTTCTTTGCTAGTAAAAATAGTTATAAAAAATTTAATTTTTATTTTTTCACTTAAAGTGAACGTATAACACGGTTTTCTAATTGGGTTTTCATGAATCAACTTTATATTTTTGGGTTACTTTACTTTACTATTTAGCAACTATTTCCATCTGGTACAACGTGTAGACGTACAATGTAAATTCTAAAAATTAATTTTCTTGTCAAAATAAAACGAAAATTAACTAACTAACTGTTAACTAACTTTAAACACAAGTTAGTATGATTGTGCTTTTCCTAAAATTAGTCACACAGAAGACAATAACGCACAAAGCTATTTCTACAATTCCGTCTTGTTCCAAATTCAATCTAAAAATAAAAGTTATATACGATCTAAATAAAAATAACCGAGAGTCACTCTCTTGATTCATGTAACCAATTTTACTCTATTTAAGGCGAGGTAAAGTGTTATTTTATTTATATTTATATAAAATTTTGCCTGATCTGAGAAGGATAATTTTTGTACATTTTGTAAATACCTGACCATACTAAAAACCTCTCTTTCGACACTGCAAAAATTTCTAAATTCCTCCCAGAAGATTCACCACCTGTTTCCACCGAACTTTCCTTTCGCCTCAAATTTATGAATCTCTCGCTCCTCGTTCTCGACAAGCTCTCAAACCGAAACATCAAGTCAACAAAAAGTCTTTCCATTACTAAAATAAAACCAACGAAATTTAGTGTTTACAAAAAACTTTGATTGATTTAGCACCCAAAAAACCCAAAATTTAATAGTTCTATTAAAAAAACTGGCAATCCAGCAAAAATTGTTTATAAAGCTATTTACAATTGTTAGGTTATCCAGGGAATCGTTAACCAGAACTGCGCTCTATTTCATACTTTCATATTTATGAGAACCGATAAAACGCATTGCCAAAATCTACTCCTATTTAATAGCCAGCAGACATAATCAGAAATCCGGACACATTTATAATTGTTGCTATAAAGCTCGTTTTATTTATAGCCACAGCGGTATTAAACTTTAAAGTCTTAACAAAAGCTCCATAGAAGATTTCGGAACTTTCCTTCTAAAATATTCCAAACGCAAAGTTATCCCAGTACTTTCCATTGATTTCTTTAGCGACTACACCTCTCTTATCTCCCCCGTTGCGTGACTAATACTGTTGTTAAATTATTGATAACGGTATTCATAAATTTTAACTCTAGCGCACTTCCAAATTGAATTATTATGGTTCATTACAGAAGCCTCAGTATTCCGTCTGTAAACAAAAACAAAAATATCATTAGTGATGATTACGCTGTACACATTAAAATTTAATATTGTTGCAAATGTTCCCCTTATCTGTTTTCACAAATCTATAAATAACTTTCCCTCGTTACATAATTGATAAGAGATAAACGGACGCACAAACCCGAGCCCCAATTTTTCTTATTTTGATCCCGTTATTTGCGAAACCGGTCAAGTGTTCTACACATATATATTAATTTAAAACGTTGGCGTTGTTTAGAACATGGCGCATCTGGCGCCAGAAGCCTATCTGTTAACAATTTTAGATTACAAAAACAGACGAGAAAAGTCTGTTTTTTTGAAATTTGTCAATTCCTGTTTTCGGATTTTTCGAGTATATAGTAGTGAAGGTAGCCAACATCCGTCACTCGTTGGCTCTATTTAGTTTTCCGTTCCGCCTTCGCTTTCTACGACAGGAAACGCGAAAAACGCTAACCACGCCACTTATCCGTCAGTATTAACTTAAGTTCCTTTAATAAATTCGTTGTCTTTACATACCCGCCTTCAGGTATAAATGTAATACGTGTTATGGTCGATCAAACAGGATGCTATTTTTAAGCCCCCACACCTCTCCCACAGGTGTTCTAGCAACACACAGGAAATACAATTAAATATTTGTCTTTTGTTACATGTCTGTTTTTGACGTGACCTGTGCTTATTTGAATTGGTTCGTAGGTGGGTGTTTGGTTAACTGGCCAATTTTGCAATAGATTAACGGTGTCGTGTTTGTGACGAATTAGAACCGCATACTAATCAATGTCAATTGATAATTGTATTGTTAACCCAAAAAGTACGTGGTCGTAATAGGGAAGACCACGGTATGGTTATACTGACGTAGAAAAAAGACGTAATGGTTGTTATAAAACCACAAATCATTTAGATAAGACGTTCATCAAAAATTAATTTGTTTGTTTATTGTTTGCGCTATCGTTGGTTCACTGATAGCAAATTTATCAAACCTGTGCATAACGAAATCAAGGTAGATTGGGTACTTACGGTTACACAATATTACAACATAGAGATTTGTTTATCTAGAGAGCAATATTTTGATAATTCAAAATTGCTGACGTTAAACCTAAACCTGTAAACAGAGAGTACTTGAAAACGAAACTAATACAGGGAGTGGTGAACTTTTTACAATTTTTTGAAAATTTTTTACACGAAAAAATTAGAACGCCGCTTCCAGAAAACGGAAAATTATAAAAAAAAAACACTAAGAGGTTATTTGGTAGTTTAGTTAAGGTTGTGTAAGCATTTCACTCCATCATAAAATTTCATGGAACCTTTTTTCAAATAAAGCCAAATCGGGACGTTAAAAAAGGAAGTTTATTATTTATTAAACCACGAACAAAACAGCAGGTAACACCGCCTCATTAATTTATGGTACGTGATGGATAGAGTTTTATCAGCTTAAGGATAATCCGAATTCCCAAGGTACAATTAAATTTCAAAATAATCGATTCGTAGTTAAGGGGATCATCTGTCTAATAAATTGACACGAAAACGAGGCATTTCTTGAGCTACATGAACATCAGGAAAACATTACATTAAATATCCATTAGAATGGCTTTCTAATAATATGTGTGGGGCGAAAATGTAATTTGTTCCAGATCTTAGTTTTTGCCTTTTTGGGTTTGTTTTCAATATTAGGTTTAGAAAATTATCAACAAATTAGCAACAATAGAAATACAACGGATTCAGGTCCAAGGATGACAAATTATGTTGTTCGCCTGATATTTACTTTTCTGAGCTACAACAAGAGAAGCAAAAACATATAGCAAATGAAAGAAACATTGTGAACAAATAACAACAATAAAAGTATTTAACGGTTATTTTATTTTCTCTTGAGCAATTTTTTACATTACGATTAAGCACATTATTTTACAATTATACGTAATTTTTAAATCGTATACTTTTTTATTTTAATTGTGGTTACCTTTTCCTTTTTTTGCATCACCATTTATTCTTTCATTATTACAACTTCCTCAAAACCTTGACATTTTCTAACAATTTGTTTGTAACGATATAAAAAATACGTGGGCTAGTCAGCGAATTTTTTTTTGCCACGTGTCTAATACAGTGCCGTCAAAAATAATTTTTATAGGATAATGTTTCATTAATTCGAGGATATTGATTAAGTAGTTGTATGTTACGTACAGCAGTCTGATCATTTAAAATAATCTAAAAAAAGTATTTTGAAATATTCTCTGAAACTTGACCTAATAACAACCAGGAAATCGTGTTTTTTTTTGCTGTAAATTTAAATGTTCAAAGTAATATAAATAACTCGTCACGTCAAAAAGTATTAGATACATTTTTAGCAAAAAATATATTCTGAGACTTTCTATCATTGTAAGTCGTAAAGTGCCGATTTATTTTACGAATTATCGCATATACTCTAAATCTAATTCATCTGAAATTGTGGGAATACCCAATATCACAAAAACAACTGCAACATTTAATCTTATTTTTCTACCGCCCACGTTTTTTGGTTTTCTAATAGAGCTATTAACGCACGCAAATGACGTCACAGCAGTTCGTTAATAGCGGAAAGGCGTTCTTTAATAGATCTGGTGTAATTTAGATCGGTAAGATTGGCAGCAATGACGAGAAATGTCAGGTGAATGTCAGTGGCAAATCTAAACTTAAAATTTCCCATGTTTCCGGACGCGCAACTTCTTCGCAAGACATTTTAACCAATTTTAAATTACAAAAACTCGAATTGGTTCGAATTACAATTGTTGTTGTGAAAATTCGAACCTCAAATATTTCGTGGTTAGTGTCAGACCGACCCATCACCAACCACGACAAAAGTCCCCAGATTAAAAAAAATGCAAATTTCAATTAAATTTTGGGAAAAAACGTGTGCGGTAGAAAAAATAGTATAAATAACTCGTTCATAAGGCCATTGAGGCACTCATCCTTTATATAACTCGCGGCTTCGCCGCTCGTTCTATAAACTTGGATTCGTGCCTCAATATTTGCCTTATGAAACTCGTTCTTTAATATACTATTGTCTGTTCATTACAGCAATCTAAAAACAAAAATAATATATACTTATCTATTTACATCGATTGAGGGAAGTTCTGTTCACAAATACTCCACATTTGAGTATGACAATTTTAATTTTCTCTTTGATATAGTAAACAGCAATAGCATGCACAAAAACCGGGGTCCATGGAAATTTTACTTCATTTAATAGTATATAAAATTTGTATCCGGGTACTACGCTACTGGTATCTCTGGTAAATTCCAGATTTCCAGATGGTCCCATCCGCTCCTGTTCGGGATGTCTTAACTTTGAAATAATTTGA